ATTGAGATAACAATATGATTATAAATAAAAAAAATTTAAAAACTGATAAAAAAAAAGAAAAAACTTTAAGATAATTCATAATAGCATTTTTAAAGCATAAAACTATATAAAAAGACCTACATACAGATTTTGATCGATCCCTGATGTAATTATCACACTAATGCTAAAGCATATAGGCTCGATTGGAGTAAGCCAACTCACGAAAGACCACAACCTGTCGATGACCACTCTTCATATACTCGATGTGTAGAGAATCGGAAGAGTCATCCTATTATGGAAATGCTGGGAAACCTGACAACAAAGAGGTGTTCTATCGCCCAATAGCTCTCCTCTCCCAGTAGGGAAGACAATTATAGCCTTGCTACTCCATATCTTCACACACCATCTGAGCATAGCAAATCACCAGCATGGCTTTCGAAAAGTGCACAGTACCACCGCAACACTTAGCGTCATAAACGTTCAAATAGTTAATGACCTTAATCAGAATCCAATTGCGATAGGACGTTACTCGTTGCGTTGGACCGAGCGGCCGATCCTTAACTACACTGCACTGGATGCGGTCAGACGAGAAATTTCCAACCTTTAGATAAAAATTTGCTTTATTGATTGCATTTAAAGTAGTAAATATGTGTTAAAACATTGTATACGTAAAGTCAGAGAGCGTGAGCTAAAATAAATACAAAGTGTTTCAAGTTGTATTACAATATGACATTATATTATAGACTTAATATTATAATTAATTTAATACAACATTTTCAATGAACTATAATGTCTTTTAAATACTGATAATACAGCTTAGTGACAAGCCTAATATAAGCTTGCACTATACATTTGAAATATAAAAAACACAAAACAAATTAGAGGAATGCTAACAACTGCACCTCATTTTAAAATAAATAAAGTCAACACTTTTTATTTGGTAACTACAATGGCATGGCATTGTGCCTCGTTATTTTCGCCAGCATTCACATGTTGTTATGGCCATTCGTCGGTTGATAAATACACGCGCTCATCATGCACCGTATGAAAAGTTAAACCGTTACCTTCAGGCTTATGCCATGACGGCAGTAAAACGCTACGCCAAAACGTTCTACAAAGTAAGTTAAAATTACCATGCAATTTAATATTTTTAAAGCTTTTGCGCAAAAGCACACATTACTTACCGGCCACGCACCAAACCCAAAAATAATTTCCAATTTTTACGCGCACCAAAATTATATGGATTAACGTAAATTTTATTTTCTTTAAGCAAACGTTCGGTTTCCTCTTGATTTATTAGCGCCTCAATGCTAGTTTCACCGCGTGTTATCAATTTGGCATGCCATATGGTGAGTGCACCCAGCGCCAGTACAGCAGTTACATTCGTAGTGGCCATAAATATTATAGCACGACGCCTCCCCATTGTGTATGTGCCATCGTCTGAGGTAGGCGGTGTGGGCAGTGCATGCTTGGCAGGCAACAGTAGGTCATCATCGTACTCGTGCGCATGAGTCTGCAATTCGTGGAAGATTTAACGATGCGTAAAATTAAAAATAAAAATTAAAAAAACAAAAACATAAAAGTAATGTTTTACCACTGGTATGATGTGTCCACTTAAATTGAATTTAACTGGTTGGCCTTCTAATGGTTCCGATTCTATCCAACTATCACCATGATCTAGCCATATGTGTTTATAGCCCAGTTCAAAGCCAAAAATTATTAGGAAGAGGCAACCGAGAGTGGTATAGGCCATATAAAGGAAGAAGTAGCGATGATTGAAGAAGCCTACGCAATTATTCAGCCATGCTGAAAGAAATATGTACGGTTGAACAAAATAGGGAGCTAAACACTAAGCACAAGTCTACAACTAATTCTAACAGGACATCAAACATTTATTTTATTTTGTGAAAGAAACTCAGTTAGTGCCTGTAAAAGCTATGAAACACTTACGGCAGTGATGGTCCATTTTTAATACGCATATGTTGCAAATGGAGCAATGGTGTGTACGCGGTGCTTTCGGCAGATGACATTTTTTACAAATCTTGCGCACCTCGAAGGATTCATCACTCTGCAATACCAAAAGCTAAAAGAGATCCTTGAATATTTAAAGATGTTTACTTACAATTTGTGGCGGCTCACCGGGTGGTGTAATTACACCCATTACATAGTGGAAAATGACATTAAGCAGTAGCCAATTGCCAACAATAAGTAAAAACACAGTAGCTTTGGGACTTTTTTCCCACCAAAACGGTAAACCAATCCAATAGGCAATCACCACTACAGCAATTGTCAATCCCGATACAGCGAATATGAAAAACTAAATAAACAAATGAATATATTTCAAATGATAGGTCAACGGACACTCACTGGTCCTAACAAATGTGTGTAGTTATCGACGAACCAGAACATTGGTTCCAAACATGTATCTGAATCGAATTCGGTGATGAGTCGGCGGAACCAAATCTTTGCATAGCTCCAACGAGCGCGATATCTAGTGCTAAAAGCGCAAATAGAAGTTTTTTATGTACTTGATTTTTATAAATTAATTACTTACAATAATTTTTTTAATTCACTACTATAGCGCCACTTAAAACGAGTCATATTTTTATAAGCACCAAAATTGTAGAGTTATCCAGATTTTATTTATACCGATTCAGTTTCTCATTGCAAATTTTCTACAGTTCTGTTATCATAAACAATAAACAGCTGATTTAAGACAAATGGGTTCAGATAGAGTAAGTTCTAAAAAGCTGAAGTTAAAATAGTGTTGCTTGTAATTATATCAAGAAATACGATTACATTTAAAACATTTGTAGAAATGAGTTGTTTTTAAAAAGCTTAAAAAAATATAAAAATTTGTTCAATAAAATCGAAACTGGCATTATGGGCATCACTTAATGTGTTGAAATCGTCATACAGTGACCAAAACAATTTCGTGTCTCAATAAAACGTTATAATTCATAAAATTCCTTCCAAAAATATACTAAAATGATTTACAGACTTGCAGCAAACAGAAATTAGAGTCAAATTAAGACCATTTTTATATTTTTCAAAATAAGAACATTTTAATATATGCTCATGCATATATTTACCTGTGGTGTGTATAACAGCACCACAGGAAGAAGAAGAAATGCAAAAATGAAAACAGTGAAGAATTTTTATGGAATCACTAATGCAAAAAATTGTTAAACAAAAATAATTCGTATTTGATAATTTTGCGGAATCAAAAGTAAATGGATCAACAAGGAGCTACAGGTAATAGACTAGCATAAATTGACAAAGTCAGAAAAACAAAGCATTTAAATCTGCTATTAACTTGCACTGCGTTGTTATTTTATTTAGGCACTTCAAACACGTTAGGTGCGGTGGGCGACCAAACTACTGAACCCATTGCGATAAATATTAATGAAAATGTTGGAGCTACGCCTCCAAGTGAAGGCCGCAATGATGGGGCTTCCTTAGAAGCTACGCCAAAATCGCTTGCAGATAGTAGTGTTGAAACAGATGCAAGAGAAACAGTAAATGCAGTTACTGAACAGCCGTCCGTAATAATATCAACAAACGAACATATACCAAACATTATTTCTAATACACAACCAGACACGGAGTTTCACTTGCAGAGATCTGATGCTAATACAACATCTATTGCTCTAAATGAGGACGCGACCCATTCCAACCAGGAAGAAATTAACTTACAAGATGTGCAAATAATAGACAATAACATAATCGCTGCTTCAGTAGCTACCAATATGGACAGCGAAGCTGATCAGCAGCAAAGCCTTGCAAACGTTGAGGCACATCAAGAAGTTGACGTAGATGATATATCGTCAGACGAGATTGTGCAAAATAATAATGAGAACGAAGATGAAAGTAACGAGGAAATACGTTTTGATCCCTCACCGCTAATCGAACCACTTTTAGAAGACGACGAAATGGGCGAGCAAGGCGTGGACGATGATGATCAGCCAATAGCTGATTATGACGGTGAGGATAACTTAATGCTGGAGGACATTTCGGATGATGCTTCAACTTCACCAGATGCTGTTTTCGATGGTTATTAACATTTTCATTGAAATAGTATGTGAGATTTTCAAAATTTTTTTTCCTTGCAGATGATCAAATGCGCGCTGCCTTTAGTGAAATGCTGGTACAAAATAGACGCGGTGGGGAAAATTTTATGCAACGGCTACGTAGCGCTTTCTTTACAATGGAACACAATAGAGAACGACGACGCATTGACACGGACAACGAAGTGGAAATCGAAGAGCCCGAACCTGAAAATCCTGTAAGCTTTGACACAAGCCTACCAGCTGAACACTCATATTTAGGCGAGAATATGGATCGCGTGTCGGGTGTGCATTATTTGGAAGTGGGTCAACAATACAATTTAATGCTTTTCATGCATCAACATATATTATTCCCCGGCGAAGTGCTGCCCTTTATGATCTCTGGTTCGATAATCGAGTCTGACATGAGCGCACAAAACGGGTTACTTTTTGGCGTTTGCTTCCCCACACTCTGCAATAGCGAAGACATAGATGATAATTTTTATGGCGTCACTTGCCAAATTTATGAAAAGGGCGCAGATGAACGTGGCAACACACTAATCAAATCACGCGCTTTACAACGGTTTGTCACTAAAGGAAGTCAAGTAACTGGGTAATGAAATATAATATTATATAATTCTTACTATTGTTGTTCTATTTCATGAACTTAAATTTTATTTGCAGTCCCCTATCATTTATAGCCGCTCACCCACAATTCAAGGTGTACGGCAAAGTTAGAATACTTCCCGAAATTTACCTACGCGAACCACTACAATGCATTGATATGGGTTCATTAAATCGATTTCGTGATATAAACTCCATGCGCGAAACCTACAAACGTTATCAAGCAGCCACAACCGCGTGGCCAACACATATTTATGACTACTACAGCATTACGACCATTGTGGAAAAGGCGCGTTCACAATTGGCACAGCACAAGATCGACACAATGCCCACTGACCCAACACAGTTATCATTTTGGTTGGTGCGTAATCTGCATTTGTCCGATAGTCTAATGAAGACTACATTTTTGACCGACTCGGTTAATATACGCATGAAACTCATATCGGACATATTTACAGATGTAGGTTACACTGACTTGTCATTTTTTTAAATTTACTTCAATTTATATTCTTGTTTTACTCTAATATAGGATTCGGTGTTTACCTGCCGTTATTGTGGTAATCGCATTGCAAATTGTCAACAACTCTTCGCAATGTCAAAGCATGGCGTGCAAACACAATACTGCAATTCGGGTATGAATGGAGAAATGGATTTAAATATATGATTTAAAATTTTTTAATATTTAAACATTATTGCAGCTGGTTATATACATGAAACGAACACCGTCTATCAACTCTTACCGGATGCAATTACATATAGTGGTCAGCCATCCTCAGAATTCAGTTGGTTCCCTGGGTAAATCAACTGAAATGTATATTATTTATTTTTTAAGTACTAATTTCTGCAAAAACTTTAATTTACAGTTATGAGTGGCACATTATACTCTGCAAAATTTGCTCTCGTCATATTGGCTGGAAATTCAAGGCGCTCGAACCGAATTTAGTTCCGAAATCATTCTTTGGCATATCAAGCTCTAGTGTACGCATTAGCTTACCAACACCCGAAAACACCAATACACGTGCAGCTTTCTTTCAAAGCTTGGTGAGATTGATGCGCCGAGAGATGCAATGAATTTGGCGAGCGGTGAAGCGTTTAAATTGCAATTGCCATTGTTGCGGCATGAGGCGCGTTAATCGCCCACAGCAGCCGCATGAAAATGAACTTAATGTTATAGATTTGGTATGACCTTATGTGTTTAGTGACAAGTAAAACGTTTCACCCAGAATTATATACAATTTTCTATATATATATATTTAAGCGGTGCTAATGTTCGTATAAAATTAAAAATTACACTCATCGGCCAATTTGATCGCCGAGATCTTGCAGCGAGTAGCGAGAAAAGGAATTAGTAACTTCAAATGTAATGCTTTCTAGAACGAGAGTTAATGGAAATTTAATTTCACTTTGAATTAAAATTTTAAGAAACATCCAAAAATGTGTGGATCTGGACTTATATTTGCATATTAAAATACTACATTGCGAGATTGTAATGTGTGTGACTTGTGTAATAAAATTATAGCGCAATGACCATTTTTGCTAACAAAAACTGCGCTAAGTATTTGATGGCGAATGATTGCGTTAATTTTTAACGCCACTGCGATTCGTTTTTATTTGTTTTAAAACTCATTTAATTTATTTTCAAAGATAAAACTGGAGCTATTTGAAAAGTTTCTAACAATTTGCATTAATAAAGTGCAACAACTTATTAGTCATGAATAAAAAACCATAATTATTAAAAGAAAAACAATAATTTGTTTACGCTTACTCGTTAGTATAGTCTTTACGAAATATTTGTTGAATTCATGTGTAAACTCTGATGGTAATTAGTCATGAATTGAATACATATTAACTTACTGTATCTAAACTAATAGATTACTCGAAAATTATTAAAAAGTTAATTTGCCAATAACTCAGAGAAAGATGTTGAAAGTTTCTGGGAAGGGAAAAAATAATGGGGTGTTAGAACATTTCGCATTTGAATATAGTAAATCGAATTAAAACTTACAGTTTTACAAAAGGGGCAAGTGCCAAAAGAGACACTCAGAAAATCCATCCCGTCAGTGAGCGTGTTAAACCACTCCTTCAAGCAGGCCGCATGATATACCAGCGTACATTGTGGGTTGTCGCATGATACAATTGGTATTTCACCTTCCTCTAGTTGATACGAGTAACAAATATTGCAAAATTTTTGCTCTGTGCTATTAACTTCACCATCCACTTCCATCCAGCCGCTACCAGGCGGCATTGGGAAATAGCAGATGTCGAAAATACGCAACAAGTTCTTATGTATATCCAGCTCAACATCCCATTCGCTTAGGCCGTCACTTAACGTACGCCTCAACTCTTCGACAGCCTGCGTTGGTCCTATTATCTGCACTGACATCGAACCAATCGGTGCAAAGGGATCGGAAAGCACTAATTTGATAAAGACACGCTCACGTAACACAAATAAACGCCAATTATGTTTGGTCGAAACTGGCGGTTTTGGCTGCACAACATAGCACAGCTCATCAATATCAGCGAAATTTCCATAAAACGCCCGTAAATGTTGCAGATAGTTGCGGAACTGTTGCACCATGGCGGTTAGGTTCTCATATTTCTGCAATTGCTCTTCCCACGGTACACAGTCGGGTAGACTATGCGCAGTTATTTGTAGTGTTGGGAGTGCTACTTGTAAATAATGTCTTTCGTATCCCGCGAATTTGGAAAAACGCAGTAAACTGCAAGCATCATTTAGCTCCAATTGATAATCTTGTGGTGCATAGAGCGCGGCTATTTCACTATAAATGTTGGAATCTGTTATTTCTAAGCTTTTGGCGCTTAGGTTGGCTGTATCACTGTACTTATGTTGTAGCTGTGGCAAATGCTCCATTAAATCATACAAGGTCCAACCCGCTTTTAAATCTTCCTTTTTAATTTTTGTAAATTTAACTTGCTGTGGCAGTAATAATTCCAGACGCGCTTCCTCTAGTTTAGGGAAATGCGGACACACCACTTTTAGACGATACCACTTGCCCTAGAAAATTGCAACTTTATACATTTAAATTCATTATTAATTTGCAACGCTACATACGTTTAGTTTGACAGTCCCTCTGGCTTTGGAACCGCTTACAATGATACCGGGATAGCGTAAAAGAAAATTATCCCATTCTCCGGGTTCTGCCATCGCCCTGCTCAATTTGATTTAATTAAGGGCGAGGTAAAGCGATCCTACAATTTTTATTTCCCTTATGAATTGTTTGTCATCAATTTCCTGATTATTTACAAAATTTCTTGAAATAGAAAATCGCGCTTCAAATTAATTCGAACTTAAGAGCTAAGCGTTGCCAGAGTTCTAAACATTTTTTTAAAAAGTAAGATTCAATCTTTTGCAGCATATTTTTGAACTTCGGTACAAAATCGTTCTAATTTTAAGTTGCTTCATGTAAGTATGTATGTATATTCAAAATTACATAATAAATTTGCATTATTACTTTATAGAGTATTTTGAAGGTTATTTATTAGGGTAAGATAAGCAAAACTGATAGTACTATAAATTTTAAAATTAGCATTTTCTAATATTTATTTTAAAATCCACACAACTCCTTTAAACAAATATTTCAGTGTTTTTTTTATTTTTATTTGCAAAATATCAATGGTTTATTAAAGCAAAATTTAAGCGTTTTAACAAGTTTTTCATCTCTAGTTCAATTTCAGCTTAAGATTTCTGCACCTTAATATCGGTAACGAAACAGGCCACGGATTGGTTGCCTTCATCAACCAAATCCAATTCGACTTTAACACTGACTTCTGGGTAAGAGGAATCAACGTAGAAGTTGAAGTTGTAAACGACATCCTCGGACTCATCGATGGGGCATGAGGCACCATGTAACAAATTGCGGCAGACATCGGCAACATCGTCGGGCAATGGGTAGGGCACTGTCAGCCCCAAAGCGGTGGCATGGACCACACCCTTGATGGATTTGATATTATCGCGTGCTAAAATATTCAGTAATACAAAAATACAATTTTTGATGATCTTTTCAGGCAATAATATTTGCCATATTGCACTTACTGCCCACGAAGTTGGCTTTCATGACCACGGTACTGCCCTTGACCACATTGCAGGGCATGGTGGCACATCCCTCGATGTCAACGCTCAAAGGGAAAGGTCTACCATTTGTGCCTGAAATGTAGAAAATTTTAGTAATATTTGAATACTGGAAGATATAATGATGCCTTAAATAAATGTAGGATTAAGACTTAAATTTCACTTACATTGTTTCACATTCGTGGCTGAAACCGAAGCTAAGAAAAGCGCCAAGCACACAACAGTTAAACGAAACATATTTCCTTTTAATTAAAATTTAACTTGAAGTTAGAAATATATTAATTTTAACACAGTGTTCTGTAGTAGTAACTCTTCAAGAGGTATCAACTGCGACTGATGTCTAACCGTCTAAATAATGATCTTTAAATAGTGAAGTCGACCGAGTGTGGTTTCTGAATCAGCGTTTTAGTTAGTGTTGGCTTTCTGTTGAAAGAATCTTCGATTAAACCTGCAGGTGTTCTCTCAAATCCATTGTTGTAAATTAATTGCAAATTACTGGAAAACAAGTGATAAGATTTTGGCCAGCGATTTAAATTGAATAGGTAATAATATTCCATTGTTAACTGTTTATTTATTATATAATCTGATTTACGATTCGATCTTCTTCTCATTTACTGGGTAGACACCGCTTACGTGGTTATAGGCGAGTTAGCAACAGCGCGCTAGACATTCTATTTGGCGCCAATGCGAGGTACCAAGTGTAGCCAGGTCCTTCTAAACTTGGTCGTTATAATGAAGTGGAGGTCTTCTTCTTCCTCTGCTCACATCGGCGGGTACTGCATCGGAAACTTTCAAAGCTGAAGTGTTTTCTTCCAAGGTCCGTGTCCACAGTCTTGCGAATGTCTAGTATGCGTTTTTGTAGCCAGAAAGGGCAGTTCAATAAGCAATTTAAAATTTTTTAGAAAGACGTATCGAAGTGGCTAAAAGTTATTGCAAATGCTATAAAGTATTATTGTATACAACTCAAGTTTAGTTAAGTTCAATGGCTGATCCTCAAGATGGGTAGCGCACACGAATGCCTTCTCTGAAGCCGTAATATAAAACTCTGTAACCAGATCGTATAAGATACATTGTGAATGTGGGCATTGTGACTTTCTACCAAGTCTTCTTTCAAACAGGTTTTTTTATTCGCATCCGGTAAGTCAAACTTTTCGTGGGGATATCCATAGGTCAATGACCAGTTAGAACCCATACAATTAGGGTAGATTTTTCGATAGCGAAGAGTTTACTAGACCTGTTGGGTCAAAAGGACAGTGCAAGTACTAATGGTAGCTCAGTGCTGACCAAGCACTCGATCTATATACCTAACATTCCGGTCTGGTCTAGCCTCCATGCTAATCTTATCATAAAGTGACTCGACACCATTTAAAGCTACGTTATGCAGTCCTTAATTTGAAACTTAACTTTGACCGCACGGCTAGTGACCCCTATTACTTTCAATGACATCGAGTCACTTTGTTATAAGTATGGGGGTCAGGCCACAGCGCCCTGCTATCAGAGAGGATACTCTTTTCGCTCAGGGAGGCTGCACTCCGAAGCAGTAGAATCTACTGAGTAGATCTACCGCTACTTTAATAAGTGAGTTTGGGAATTCTACCAGACTCTATCTGCAGATCTTGTATGAAAAAAAGATGAGGTGGAAACTACAACACTTCCTTCTTGACGTTGGCTTTGGTTGCACCGAAGTAATAATGGCCTTCACAAATATGAAAGATTCCTTACGAGAACTTGATTCCGATTGTTCAGTTTGTATGACAGTTATATGATATTGTGGTCCGATATTGATTGTTCCGACAAATGATTAGCTTCTTGGAGATAAAAAATTGTGTGCAAAATTTCAGAGCGATACCCTAGCGACTAGCTCCCGTATATACAGACTGACAGACGGAAACACGGAAATGGCTATTTGGACTCACCTAGCCATGGTGATCATTCATGTATATCTTTCTAGGGTCTCCGGCGATTCCTTTTGAGGGTTACAAACTTCGTGGCAAACTAAATTAGTCTATTCAGGGCATAAAGAAATCTCAAATATGCATACTATACCATATTCTCCAATTTCTTCTCTTTAGCTTTATGTATGTCTTACTTTTATCATTGCTGCAATATTCGCTGTTTTATTTAGCTTAAATAATATTTAAGTGATAAATAAAACTTAAGATAGGCCCCCAACTGTGAAGACAATGGTTATTTCCGAGGAAAATCAATCATAAATCATAAATCAGTAATTTATAATAAATAAACAACACTAGCCACTAAATGCAATGCCCCAGTGCTTATTCATTACCTTCAATGAGCTATTGCGTTAGTTTAGACCGATAAGCCTAACGGAACACCTGCTCGGTTACTCGAAGATAGTAACACCTGCAGCCATGTAACTAAAACGCTGATTCAGAAACCGCACACAGTCGCCTTCACTATTTAAAGACCGTTATCTGGACGGTTAGACGTCAGTCACAGTTGATACCTCTTGAAGAGTTACTACTACAGAACACTTAATGTTAAAAGAAAAATTTAAAATCAATTTTAATCTAAAGGAAAAATGTTTCGTTTAACTGTTGTGTGCTTGGCGCTTTTCTTAGCCTCAGTTTCGGCCACGAATGTGAGACAATGTAAGTGAAATTTAATTCAAATAACACTAGTTTTCACTTTCCTGAAATGTTAGAGGCTGTTTCTTGCTAATTTCTGGTTGCTAAAAACGATAATAATAGTAAACATTTCGCAACACGTAGGATTCTTTGTGTTGTAGTCAAATCATGACCAATTACCAAAATGATAAAAAAGCGGTGCCTTTTGAAACATTTTTAAACTTTGTAAACAGGACACCTTAAAGACCTCTTGGAACATCGGTCGCAAATTTTACCTTTAGATTTGTTTAGTAGTGTAATTAACGGAGTGGTGGGTTTTAGACCTCGAAATGATATTGTTACTACTGCTCTTGCTTCATAGGATACTCGTATATTGAAAAAATTGATTTCAAAAATTTTACAATCTAAAAAACCTAATTTTTAAAAAAAATTAAAAAAAAAAAATAAAAAGTTAAAAAAAATTGTTTTTCAAAAAATTAATATGTAATTAAAAGAAAATTATTATAATTAAAAAAAAAATATTTTTCAAAAAAAAGTTATTTTTAAAAAAATGAATTTAGCTATAATTCTTCGAACTCAGTCTTAATGTCTATAGCTGCTTTTAATTGACCTTATCGCCACACAAATGTTAGTAAACGAGACTCGAGTTGCGCCGTTATGCTAATAAGATAATGCAGAAATCGCAAACATATTTTTAGGCACGATCTTTTCGGCAACACACACATTTCGCCTTAAACTTATAAAAATTCACATTTATTAAAATATTCTGCATTTCAGGCAAAAATGGCAGACCTTTCCCATTGAGCGTTGAAATCGAGGGTTGTGCGGCCATGCCTTGCAATGTGGTCAAGGGCAATACAGCGGTCATGAAAGTCAACTTCGTGGGCAGTACGTGCAATGTGTCCATTATTATCACCTGAAAAGATTTTCAATAATTAAATATTTCTGAATGTTTCAGCACGCGATAATATCAAATCCATCAAGGGTGTGGTCCATGCCACCGCATTGGGGCTGACAGTGCCATACCCATTGCCCGACGATGTAGCCGATGTCTGTCGCAATTTGTTGCACGGTGCCTCATGCCCCATCGATGAGTCCGAGGATGTCGTATACAACTTCAACTTCTACGTTGATCCCTCTTATCCAGAAGTCAGTGTTAAAGTAGAATTGGATTTGGTTGATGAGGACAAGCAATCCGTGGCCTGTTTCGTTACTGATATTAAAGTGCAGAAATCTTAAGCTGAAAATGGACTGGAAATATGGAAAATATATAGACTTGTATTCATGGAAAAAATATCTAAATAGTAGTTAATAATAAAATATATACAAAATGGCTAAAAAAGTATTTGTAATGATTTTAAAAGAGTTTGTCATAGTGAAGAAATAACGAAATTTCATTTTGAACTTAATAGCGGCGACACAAGCCAGCAAGATGGGGCTGACAGATCGAAAGGACTGCAGGAAATGATAGAGAACTTTGTGAAAATATCTCTTCTTACTTTTCCCTTTTTCCTATATAAAAAACAAAATATAATTTTAATCAAGTTTCTTTCTAACTTAAAGTTCAAATATTTTTCTAAAATTTAGTGTTATTTAAAATGTCACTGCATAACCCTAATAGTGATTTTTAGGCAACAAGCTTATCATCCGCTACCGCTGAAATTATGGATAACGCTGATAAGTGCTGCTGAAACACCTGCAACCTTTTGCTAAGGCCTCAACACTTGCGCCCAAGTGGACGCTAATTTAAAGACTTCCATAAGTTTTTATTGGATTTATGATTAATTCTTTTATTTGAAACGAGCTAAGTTATTTCGAAGTATTTAAGTAGTGTAAATACCTGGACCTTGTGTCATATAGAGTTGGTATTACTGTAGAGTTGGTACTACGTCGTTGGATTTGATTTCAAAACAAAAAAGAAAAAGAAATATTTACCTTACGTTTCTTTGAAGAATTTAGAGAGGATGTACCGTTTGACAGTTATGTGTTTCGCGCTTTTGGTCGCCACTGCAGCGGCGACAAAAGTATCTCAGTGTAAGTGAAGTGTTAGCAAGGAAACCAGTGCCTTATTATAAATTATTTAATTATTAAAAAAAAAAATGCATATAAAAGAGAAAGGACATTTTAGAGATTTTAAATATGAAACAAGTTATGCTTAAGTGTGTAGTTTTAGCTGTCTTCAATTCAACAAAATGGGAAGAGTGGCGAATCGAACAATCAACTGGTGTTACACTGGTTACCAGATTATTCATTTTAATAAGGCTAAGTGCATTTCTTTTATATTTAGTGGAACTGGTTAACTTTGTTGCCGCCTTTCAATGTGAATTCGATTTTTTTGAGAAGTGAGCAGAGCTCAAATTTAGCGTAAAAATACTTAAATGGAAATTGTAAATAAAACGTAAAATATTGAAATATTCATCAACATTTTTTTTTGGCGCCTCCAAAGTATTTAATCCTCACCAGATGTAAAAAATGTATGCTAACGATTTTTCCAGTCCTCAAAACACTTTTCGTAAGCACTTTTTGGGATGGCCTTCAGCTCCTTCAAGCATTTTTTCAACGATCTCTCGACCGTCTTTGAAGGACTTGAACCACTCGTAGGCTTGTATTTTTGTTTAAATTGAATCACCGTAAGTCAACATTCTCAACGATTCCGCACCCGTAATTTGATTGGAAATACAAAATTTGAGACAAATTCTTTGTTCGATATTTTTGCTGTAAATTAACTGGTTAACAGATCGCGGCATATTAATTAAGGATAGTTCCACCAACTTAGCAAAATAATTTTTTTTTGAAATATCATTTAGCAGGAGAATTTAATTACAATTTCCGGGTACTTTTTTGTCACAATCTATATCAAATGCGTTCAACAATTTTCCACTGTAGTTTAAAAATTACAGTCTTAAAACGTAAACGTAACCCAAATTATTGCTAATCTAAATATTTTATTTGTTATCGAAGAAAAATATAAAATCACTTGTTGTTGAAGCATTTGTAATAATTACACGGCACCCACTTCTGTTATTTACGATTACATAATCATATATGTACACACCATAAAACATCATAATATCATTAATCAGTTATCGCTAATCTATTTACTAATTTAATAGTGGTCGCGTAGACAGCAAACAAACTGATATCGCTTGGGTTCTCTTGGGGTTTTGCAAATACTATAATAGTTACGTCCGTGGTCCTTCTATACGATCAGCTGACACACTGCTGGTTCAACCGTTGAATACAATTTTCGATGACTGGTTCGAGCATTTCGATTGGTAACTGGCGAATGAAACGCGTGAGGTTTTGCTACAAGGTCTGAATTAAAGCGGATTTGTCCGTATAGATTTTAAACTTTACAAATCCCTACAGGAAAAAGTCGGTGATTGGTGTGATATCATACGATCTTGGTGGCCAATCGACGTCCTAAAACTTGTTTTTATTTTAACACTGACGTGTTCTCTCAATAAATCCATTGATGGATGCGATGTGTGGCGCCGTCTTGTTGTTACCCCTTGTTGACCCCTTGGAACATTTCAACAGCCCATAAAGTGAAGTGATGTCGCATTTGGAGGTCGAGGCAGTAAGGAATGCTGGTTCCAAGAAGGGTGATGGTGTTGGGAATAGTACGCTCAGTAGGCCGATTATGTTGACCATATGTTGAGCGAAGCGCTCGAAACACATTTTTTACAAAACGTGAATTTTCGTAATAAAGCCGAACGATTTGTAAACATTGTTTAGACGTAAGTTTTTCTAAATTTCATGAAAATATCTCAGCAAATTAAATAGTTTTTCATACAAGCACTTGATTCAATTTGTATGGTAGCTATACGCTCTAGTGATCCAATATCGGTGGTATCGCCAAGTGGTTAGCTTCTTGGCAAGGAAAGAACGTCTGCAAAATTTCAAATCGATATCTCAAAAATCGAAGTGCAAGTTCGCGTATATACAAGATAGTTATATAAAATTACTATCTCATTTGACGTTTCCTTCACTCACGTATGGTTTTAGTATTGAAAAAAATAATAATTCAGGGATTTACATGCACAGTGTCTACCAATAGGGATCACGTGTGTGTGTAAAGTTTTTTCAGTATGTTCAGTAAAGTTTGTTACATTACTTCCGTAGAATTTGTCCAGCGGCCAGCGTAAGAGCTCGTTCCTTCTCAAATGAAGCCCAACTCTGTTCTAATGGATTCGTCAACAAACAAAATTGACATTGTACGATTGAATCAAATCTTTATATGGTTCAGGAAACGCAATTGCGTCGCCAAAAATTGACCCTTTGGTTCGGATTGTGATATGGCGGCATCATCGGACCATATTTCTGTCGAAATGAGACAGAAAATGCCATTAACACGATGTTGGCCGATTTTTTTCTCGGAATTTAGTGAAATCGACTTGAACTATCTTTATTTCCGAAAAGACGGTGCGCCGCCGCATATTTCACGTCTAAACACGAACACATAACACGTTAATTTCGAGAAAAATCTCAGTCAAATGACTGCTAAGGTCACACGATTTAACCCCTCTAGATTATTTTCTCCAAAGGTATGTTAAATAAAAGGTTTACGCCAATTTACCAGAAACGATTGAGAAGCCGGAAGACAACATTCAGTGCACTGTAGATAAAATGCTGCACCCGATCATCCAAAATTGGCGTAAACCGGAGCCGTGTTGGCCATAAATAGTAAAATAAATTATCTGCATAAAAAAAAACCATTTTGACTAAATGCGAGTGTTTAATTTCATTTTAACATCACGTCGTTCTTATCGGTAGACCCTATATATAAATATAACCAATGCAAATCGGATAACTGTGGTGAGAAGTAAAAACAGCACAACTCAAATATTTTCATTGCTGAGATAATCAACCAGAGGGACAAATATTAGCAGACTCGGTGTACAGAAATTAGAAATGCAGGTTAGAGTTGTTAGATTTGAGGATCACTATTTCCACGTTCCGAAAATTATGTCTTACAATGTTAAGAGGACGTTGTGAGAAGATTCTAGACGAAATGTTTTTAAGGCTGTCAAATTTTTCAAAACTATATAAGCATCAGACTAGCCACAACTCTAAGAAAACACAATTAAAAATGATGTTCTATTACAAAAATGTTCACCAAATTAACGATTTCTCATTTTTTTTATGTTACAGGCAAAAATGGTGAGCCATTTCCGCTAAGCGTTGAAATCGAGAACTGTGAAGATTCCCCATGTGATGTGAACAAAGGCTCTACAGTGGTGATGAAGGTGCAATTCTTGGGCAGTAAGTGCAAAAAGTGCTCGATATAAAAAGTAATGAGGAATTTAACAATAAAATTGTTGCCGTTTTTAGATCGCGATAATATCAAATCAATTACTGGTGTGGTGCATGCCACCACTTTGGGGCTGACAGTGCCCTATCCATTGCCCGCTGATGTTGCCGATGTGTGCAGTAATTTGTTGTACGATGCCATGTGTCCCATCTATGAAACCGAGGATGTTGTCTATAACTTCAACTTCTACGTTGACGCCAGCTATCCAGAGATCACTGCAAAAGTACAATTGAATTTGGTGGAAGAAAACAATGACTCCGTTGCTTGCTTTATCGTCGATATTAAAGTACGCAAGGCAATCAATTGAGGATTGAATTTGGTGTGTAATTCTATTGTAGTAAATAATGAATATTGATATTCTTTAAATGTAGTAATAAAATAAAAAATATGACTTATTTTATGGAGAGTTAACACTTTCTTTTAAGTGAACGTTGAAATTTATTGCCCATAGACCACTCAATTTACTTTAACAGGAAATAATAAAGCTTAGTAATAATAATTCCCTTATCTGTAGATGGAAATTCTGATTATGTCTATGTCAGGATTGCGTTCATCTCAAAGGCCGGTAAGAGATCGCATGTGTCGCCCAAAGATTTTAGAAACATCAATGTCTCCTCCTTATTTTTGAAAACATTAGAGTGATTGATGAAGACCTTTACATAAGGTGTAATATATCTAGGAATATTAGGACCCAGTTACAAAGACAGATCAGCGGACACTATCTCGTAGACTCCTAACTCATGATTGAGAGGATCATAAGGAGAATAAAGAGTTTGCAGTAAGAACTTTCCTTGATATCGGTAAGACATTTAACAAAGTTTTTTCGGAAGCGGTTATTATAGCTTTAAATCGGTTTCTTAAGCATCTCATCTTCCGATTTATTTGTGATAGACCAAACGTGGCTGGGTAGTGCCCGGGCACAACGGAATGTGAGTTAGAGTACCCTAGGAGTTATACGGCTACTTTTCTGGATTATGGTTGTCAATAATCTACTGGAAAAGCTTAGGAAAGTTGGCTGCAGTATGATTGAGTACTCAGACGACGCAGCTCCCATGATTGTGGTAAAATTTCTGATAACCGTGTATGAGCAAACCCAGAAGTACCTTAGCATCGCAAGCAGCTGAGCTACTGAAAACAGGCTTTCAATAAATCCCGAACTGGTTTAATACACAATGAATATCGGAGGCGCAGCTATCATAAATGAGAGGAATGCGTCTTCAGCCAGCTGGCAGAGTTAAGTACCAATCTTCCTAGAGGAAAGAACCAGGAAGGCATCAGTTACTTTATATTGCTGTAGGGAAGCCATTGACAAAATAAGTGACTCTTATCTGTCCTTTGGATTTATGAAATCATATATTCGATATATATATTTTACGGAAATTTCGATTGTCAAAAGGCGCTAAGAATGGTCGCGAAAGCTGCCTCCATACTCAGAGAATCTGGGTTGACTGCGAACCTGGGAATTTTGAAATCTTTGCAAGCTTTGATTACATTCCAAAATACATGGATTACCAGGTCGGCCATCTGACTGTCTCTTCTTTGCTGCTCACCTACGTTCTTGGTGGAGGAGAGGAGCAATGAATATTTTTACGGATGGATCATGGCTTGGTGTTGGAGTACACATTTGGGAAATTTTCATCAGATCCTGTAAGAGGCTTTCTGAGTAGTATCCGTATCTTTTCAGCGTATTCCAAGTGGAGGTGACTTCCATGAAAGAAGTAGTACATCTACTTCCTCGGAGTGCGGGTTCTTTCAGAGTGGTAACTATCCACTCCGTTAGTAGCATAGTCATAAGTTCCCTGACTGTGCGTTCAAAACTTCAAAAATAATGTTTAGACGTCTTATCTTCAGCATCAAATAATTTTATGTTTAAACTGATTTGGGTGTCTAACCACAACGGTATTGCAAGGCTAATGAGCTTGCTAGGACTGATATTTCAGTCACAATAACTTTATTGGGATTCATTACTAGAACGTTGGGCCTCAGATCAGCTCAGCAAGCGTTGGTCAACTACCAGCAGTTGTCACAAGGATCTCTTTTCTCAGGATAAATAAATAAAAGAGATTCTCTTTGCTCTTAGCAAGTTCCACCTTTAAATGGTTGTAGGAGTTCTAACTGGACACAGTCCGTTAGGAGTCATTCAGTTAGATTGAATATCTTACCGGATGCTAAGATATGCCAGAATATCTCAACACTTTCTCCTCGAGTGCCCCGTTTTTGCCATATCAAGGAAAAAACATTATGGAGCTCATACTTTTAAACATTTAGGTGAAGCGGCGGAATCAGAAATAAAAAACTGTGTTGATTTACGATATGTTCGCCCTAAACCGATTTTGGCGGAAATAGCTGATATTCAACTACAGAAGCTTTAATTTTTCTAATCCACATCCCTGGTGTTCAAACTAGTCATTACTTAAAAACATATTTTTAGGCGTCTATCAGATATGAACCAGCAAAATGCCTTATATTTCATATTTACTTTAGGATTCACCTTAATACTTATATCACGCACCATTTATTCGTTTCTTTATGGTTTTTTTGCTAAAAATATAAAATAAAATAATATAAGTAATGTTGTTCTTCTAAATTTTGAATATTTTTTTTAATGCTTACGGTATCGTATCCGTTCTTCAACTTGGCTTCTGCACACTTCAGTGGTATGAAAAAAAAATGTCTTGTTCGTAAGGGCGTTTAAGCGACAAGAGATTATCATACCCCAAATCAATATGTTTCTCAAGATTAGCATTTTGTCTTCCAAAAACAGAAAGCACTTTGCTCTCGATAAGCGACTTAGACCTTACTAAGGGAACTTCCAAATATTCGTTTGCTACCATTCATTGAAAAAGTGGGAAAGTAAAAGAATCATCTTAAAGAATTCCTGAAAGTCCACATAGAAATTAATTTCATCCTTGAAATGTAGAGATTTTCTTCAGCTGGCCTTAAATTCGTCCTATTTAAGGTGCTGGACTGGCTAAAGTCTATGTAAACGGTGTGATAATAAAATTTGTATTGCACGTTATTTCATCTCATGCGATATTGGTCGTAATCGCATGCGATATATAATAACTCTAATATATGTATGTAACTGGGACATTTCTCAACCGATTATCTCTTGTCATCAAACAAATAGTCACTGCAATCACGACCTGGATCACACCTCACTGTTGATAGTCACAACTTTGAAGTCGTCCTTGGAACCAGCATCAACAGCAACAACAATATCAAACCTGAAATCCATCGCTGAATCACTCTTGCCAACAAGAACTATTTTGAAGTGAGTAGGCAATGGAAAAGAAAAGTTCTCTCTCGACAAACAAAGATCAAATTCTACATGTTCCTGTTCCTCATTATATGGCGGAGAGGAATAGCCGTTGACAATCGACGTTACGAGTTTTCGAGAGAAAGGTTTTGCGGAAAATTTATGTTAATTTGCGCTTTGGCAACGGCGAATACCACAGTCGATGTAACGAAGAGCGGCTATAACCGCGTAAGCGGTGTCTACCCCAGTAAAAAAAGATATTAAAAATAAATATATGTTTTCCACTGCGGTGAACATTAACGATGTTCAGGGTAGTTGAAATACCACCAATTATGTATGTAGTGTTTAACAGTCCTCTCAAATAATGAGAGAGAGAGAGATCGTAGCGAAATAGAGAGATATATTTGGATATCTACAAGTGCCGCACGCTTTAATAAAGGGATTTCTTTTTCTTTTTTTATTTCGTCTGTCGGAAAGCGTTTTCATATCTGGCTGGAGTCTGTAGGACTATCATCTAGATATTTTTGTTTATGCTTTTTACGGGGACTGTAATCAAGCATCTTACAGTTCCCAGAGTAATTGATGAAACTCAGTTCGTAGCGAAGTCTGAATTCTTTCCTTGCTCTCCCATCTGTTGCCATAAAGGTCACGTTATTGATTGTTTCGATTTCGAATTTCGGCATAGGTAGAATAAAGAAATATGCTGAAGCTTGGATCCGCAAAGGGTATGATCACAGCCCTTAATTTGCCATTTCTGTGATTTTTAACAGCCATGCTGTTTATTCACCAAGTTTTGACAGGGCACAACTTGTTGCATCATATGCGAGCCGAATGAGGTATAAGTAACGACGACACATGGAGAAAGCGCAGGAATATATGCATGAGAGGAACTCTGGAATAACTTCTTCTGTCTAGCATTCTCTAGAAGTCGTCTTAGATACCTAAAAGCTTTCAAGCTCAAGGGACTATATGAAGTATCAAGTCGCTCTTAAGGTTCGCAAAAAGCGTTGATATCGTGTATAACGAATAATTTTGTTAAAATTAAATTATGGAGGGTTAGTAGTGTTACTAAGAACCGCTAGTCTGTGTACGACGTAACAGCCGGTCAATATAATAATACAAGAGCGATTATTCTCGCCTAGATGGAGAGTTTAGACTCAAGAAAAAAATTGAAAATTCTTAAACCAAGTCAAGGAATATTTATGTATCACAAATTTTTAAAGTAAAACAACAAATTTCAACAATGTTTATCATAAATCCAAAAGTAAAAAATATACTGTTACGTACTTCTATATATAAATCTCTTAATATTTGTATGTTATTTCTTAGACCAACATAAATGAGAGACAAATTTGCATTTAATATTTCTGAGTTCATTTTCTATGTAAATCTTAGCAAAAAATACAAAATTTTTCAACCACTCGAAAAATGTTTTTGTATTGCATAAGCATATAGTATAGGTAAGCATGTATGTGTTTGCTGTGCACTTTGGAATTTGTGCGCATGGAAAAATAATGCCAGTGCAGGCTTTTAGGTGATATTAAATATTCATGCGTTTCGGAATTATGAAATGCTCGCAACAGCGCAGGGCAGAATGCAGCGTTGTGCTTGGAGACACAACCCTGGCGCATGAATGTCATTGGTGGTGGCGCCGTCACTGTTTGGGAGTAAAAACTTTGAAGGAATTACAAAAGCAGACCACAAGCTTATTTGAATACAGAAGTATAGTAATGAATGTGTGTAAGTTTGCTGTGAATATTTCAAATTTATTCACAATATTTTTACTTCTATTATTTTAGAACCACAATCTTAAGTGATTTCGGTAGTAATAATAATTGCCGTTTAAAGTAATTTAAGTGCAATAATTTCATGATATTTTCTCATAATTGTTTATCTTCCATTATAGTTTTGAAATCAATAAATATAAAAACAACATATCAATAGTACAAGTGATCACATAATAAAATTTAAATTCACTCTTAGAAGCAAGTTTTCTTGCAAGGAGCGCTGCCTTAGATACCTAATTGTGCTCTCTAGTTCAAAGAAAGTATGTTAAAGCAAAGTTCCTGTCTATTTAATATTTCATTTGTATCTTTGCTTAGGCCTCCGTGACCCACTAATGGACGTATCACAATTTGGATGACTTTTGACAATTTGGTTACAGATATCGAAGGAAAATTTTCCAAATTACTGAGATTTATCCTTTCAAAAAATATTTCTTTAACATTTCGAATAAGTCAGGCCTTAGAGACATTAAACAATTACCTAGATTGCGTAACGAAGAAAAACTTTGGCTTAACTGGTTTAACTGAAAATTTGCCTCCATAAAACCTGAACAGTTTTTTTTTTTTTTTTGAAATTTTTAAAAGCCAACCAAAGTCTGAAGAGCATTCCTCAATTACAGATGTAGCTCAACAAAAACTCCTGAAATTTCCATTTGTACTTAACTCATCACTGACACAAATGAATCGATATCCGATATTCCGGAAATCAATTTAAAATGATCAAAACTATGACGCTTGTACAAAGAGTATGACGATTTTTGAATTTTCACGGGCTACGTGTATGGTATGGTCTATTGTGCTCACTCCTATATCACATATAGTCAAAAAAGTCCAGCACTCTGAACAATTCTAGGCGCTTGCTGGTCGCGATGGAGGTGATATGATAGCTGTCTACGTAAGTAGATCCAAGGGCCTTGATACTGCTTCTACAAATTGTTGGGCAATCTAGACAATCAGGTGTTCTGGAACTTCCGGTTCCATGTCACAAAACCGGCAGCTTGCGTAAGAGATTATGTCCATGTTGGGCAAGTGTTTCTTGAGTCTACAGTGCACAGTACAGAGCGCGATAAGAAGCAGGAAGAGGCGGAATTTGTCTCGGGCGAGGTTGATCATACATATAGTGAGCATAGTATTAACTCTGACATGGTTTCGCCAAAAAAGGCTTCTAACTTTGAAAACTTCGTTTTTCCCTCGTCGGTTTTTTCATTGACAAAAATGTTCCCATTACCAGTTAACCAAATTATGGACAAGTGGATTTACTTGGCAGTGTCTTTAAATTGGCTTGAGATTTTATCCTCCTCCCCTACCAAACCACCCTTCCATTCAAGTCTTGAGGGAACTCTCACCTTTAAATAACTATTGAAATCCAACCTTGGGAAAGTATATTCCAACTTATTTGATTTTATATGGTTCTAACCACATAAATTATTATTTTCTACAGTAGAACATACTTTTCGAGAGAAAGATTTTGCGGAAGATTTATATTTGGAACGGGCGAACAACGTAGTCGATAGAACGATGTACGAGATATGCGACGACATTGACATAGTTTAGCGAATTAGAAGACAGTGGCTACGCTGGCATGATCATGTTGTCCGAATAGAAGGAAACACTCCAACTCTCAAAATATTTGACACAGTACCCGCATGGGGAAGCAGAGGAAGAGGAAGACCTCAACTCCGTTGGAAAGACCAGGTGAAGAAGGAACTATTTATCCAATGGTCACCAAACAGTTAAAAGGAAGAATCAGTCGCGCTTTTGTAAACTGAGCTATAACCGCGTAAGTGGTGTCCACGCCAATAAAGAAGAAGAAGACTGAATACGTATTCAGTTGTAATTATTCCATTTCACATCTTTTGAGTGCATGATTTATTTCAAAATGCACTAATTTCAAGTTATCACAGTTGAATTTTCCATATTACATAAATATGTAGTATTTCCTTTCAAATTTATACCGTTAGTCACATTCAAGTACCTAATAGTCAATTTCATATATTGTACTATTCCTTGTGGATCGCGTCTTCACTTTCATGTTACAAACGAAACATGTGGCCACCTCCTGATCCTGATCAACGACATCTATTTGCAATTTAATACTGATTTCCGGATAATTGCCTATTGGGAACATAAAGAGATAGGTCACATCTTCTGTAGCGTAAAGTGGACAGTAGGCTTCGTACATGAGATTCGAACAGACACCGCGTACACCATCGGGCGGTACTGTTATGCCCAAAGTGGTCAATTTCGTCACATATTTCACTGTAGGCAAATGGTGTTGCTTAGAATTTTAAGTTTTAGGGAATTAAATATAAATTGCTCTACTTACTCACGAAAAATCGATTTCAAATATCATTACACTGCGATTAATAACATCGCAAGGGGGTATCTCACAGTTCAGCATGCGCACGACCAACGGAAAGGGTTTGTCGTCGGAGCTTGTTGTTGGTTTCGGACATAATTTTCAGTTACACTCGTTTTAGTAAGAATCTTCTTTTAATAATTAAAAAAAAAATTGGTTTCGACTCACATTTCTGAACCTGTGTAGCCGAGACGTTGGCCAATATATATGCAAGTAATTCCACATTTTCAATTTGCATTTGGTTGCATTTCTCTAAGTCTCTGACTTTCGGCTTATATTTGGCAAAAAGTGTATTTATGTAATGCGAAGTAGCTTAATAACTATTATCTTATCGCCTTACACTTTTTTTTAGATTTGAATATGAAGAATTTTTTTATTTTCTCTTCTTATGCTGAGGTAATTGACGATTGTCAAGGAGTTCTATTTTTATTGTTTCTTTCGCAGATAAATCACATGGCACCGAAATGTTATAATTTATTTATGTTGGCTGCTGTGTTCGGAAATGCTTTCTCCATATTTTTCTGAACACTTTTTTTTTAGACTCCTCATTCAATACTGGGAAAATTTGATAAGACTTCGTTTGGAAGAAGCTTTTAGCTGTGTAGGCTGTTGCGGTTCGATCCGTATAAGTTAAAAATGTACTGCACAATACAAAAAATTTCTGTTTAATGTTAAAAGGTGGTCGAAAATTTTTTCGTATACAGTCAAACCCGCTTGAATGCCTCACGGAAAACTCTATTTTTTTTTTTTTTTTTTTTTTTTGTAGAAAACTAGGCGGGTTGGCGGCTCTTTTAGCGCTTAAGTTGTTCAATGTGAGTACAAAGATAAGAAATTGTAGTTATTTAAACGAGTTCGGTACCTTAGCTGGCTGTTTAAGCGAGTTTTACTGTATATTTGAACTAAAAGTAGGAAGTATGGCATTGATTATTAACATTAGACTTCTTCGAAAATATTTATATTAGATATATGAAAGCTAAGGGAAGTGTTGACCAGATTTTGCCCATTTTTGGTGCAAGAGCATACTGTCATCAAAAAATATTCACCCCGAATTTCCACAATAGACCTCATAGATTGATTAACAAATTCGGTAAAAAAAAAAAATATCAACCAAATGCAGTGATGTCCAGATATTTGGTGTCTGGTTTCGAAACTATTATACTTTGTAGCATCATTTTGCGAGAGTATGAAAAATATAAAAGGTGTGTTATTTCATCAGGAAAATTTGTGTAAAGATACTAGGCGGGAAAGAGAAAGATGGAACCGTGAAAAGAGAGAACAATGCAATGAAATCACCAGTATATTGTTTAGCTCTGTATTTATAGTAGGAGGAAAGACGAAAGTCCACGTGCTTTAGCAAAGCTGAATGAAAAAAATAGTTCCAAATTAATTCGGTATTTTCTAGCAAAAGGAAGAAGCAGAAGAAAATATCTTAATGTAGACAGAAGCTCTGCCGATGCCTAGCTTGTACGAAAATTTTAGAAATATACATATCAAATGATTTTTTAATAGCAAAGCTATTATCTTTTGGTATATACATATGTACTATATGTAAATATGTATATGTATAAATATTTACTTATACTATATACTTATGTTTGTCTCTGTAGTCTGCACGTTTTTGCGAATTTTAAAAGAGCATTTCAATACGCTGGGGAACGCCACATCTCGCATCAATACAATACGCTAAGCGGATATGTAAAAGCATCTGAAGAATGATAAAAGTGTATAGGGAATAGGTGACTACATGCACGTCAGTCTACAAATGCTATGTGTAAGTGTATATGTACATATGTGTGTGTAACCTCATAAAACTTCCATTTAGCTTCACACGCTCTGCGATTTGCTTGCCAGGGTAATGCGAGTATATTAGCCGCAATATTGCTAGACACACATGCACACTTACACACACATACATTCATAAAGTATTAGCGATGCATATCAGCAGGCGTTACAACAATCGATGCGTATTTTTGTGATTTTTAATCAAATATTTTCGCTTCATTGATGTCTTCAGCCGCTCAACAGTGCGCCGCTCACTCATTTTCGTTTCCATTTTCATTCTTAATGGAATTTAACTAATCCGATTCGTATGAGTTCGCTCTTTGACATATTAAATAATGTCACAATAAAGCATTAATTCAATAGAGATAACACCATATGTGCATATGTGTGCGTGCCTATGGGTAATACACACTACTACAACCGCACGTTGGAGTACATTGATGTATGTACATTTCACAGGTGGCAAATTGTGAAAAATTGCATTGGTCGGTGGAAATGAGTGCGTGAAATGCGTTTGTGTGTGTGTATGTGTGCAGATTGGAGTGAATTTAGATATGTGGCGTATTCTGGCAGCGATTGCAAAGAATGTGACAAATTACCGCCCGTCGCTAGGAAAAATGCTAGAAAGTATAGTAGCGGACGGCAGTTGATCGGTGCTGGGAGTTGAAGGGGAGCGCGCATAAGGTGGTAAACGGTGACACACGACGGAGCTGCTGTTAGAGTGTCTGCTGCGCTGCTGTGTGAGCATATGCAGGGGGTAGGTCATTAGCGCAACACCACAACAAACACAAAGTACCCTGCGTGAATTCGAAGCTTCATAAGGAAATTTGTGGAACATTTTTTTTTTTTATTATATGAAATTTTTAGATAAAGGTTGATCTCACACATTAGAGCATGCAGTGAAGAAAATATAGCAGCCGTAGCTGAGATTGTGCACGAAGACCATCGGAAGTCGATTCGGCGTCGTTTGCCGCAACTCGGACTGACGTATGGTACGACTTGGCGCATTTTACGACGAGATCTTAAATTGAAAGCGTACAAAATACAGCTTGTGCAAGAACTGAAATCGCTCGAACCTCCGAAGCGACATCGCTTCGCTGCATGGACTCTTCAAAATTTCCAAAAGAATCCGACGTTGTGGACTAAAAATTTGTTCTGCGTTGAGGTCCATTTCTGGCTTAATGTGTATACTTATATACAAGCCAAATAGTCGCATTTGAGACGAAAAGCAACCTGAAGAGATTCAAGAGCTGCCTTTTCATGCAGAAAAACAACGGTTTGATGTGGTTTGTGGGTGGAATCATCGGCTCATATTTCTTCAAAAAAGATGCAGCTGAGAACGTAATCAAACGACTGTTTTGGGCCGAAAATTGGATCATTTGAGTCTAAGAAAAGTGAAAACACATGATGTCATGAAACGTATTATTACTGGCGATGAGTCTTGAATCTATGCTTACGATCCGGTAACAGACTATCAGTCGGCCGAATATCTTTGTAAATGTGATCAAAAGCTGAAAAAAACTCATCAAAGCTGTCCAGAAATTAAGGTTATGTTTATAGTTTTCTTCGATTATCGAGATGTAATGCACTCGGAATTCCTACCGACGAGCCAGACTGTCAACAAGTAATACTATTTGAGTGTTATGCGTCGTTTGCGAGAAGCTTTTCGTAAAAATAGGTCAGAATTAAGGGCCGACAATTCTTTGTTTTTGAACCACGTTAATGCACCGTCCCATCTGCATTGATTCTTTGTGAGTTTTTCGCCAAATTTTAAACCATATATCGTGCCGCAAACACCGTATTGCCTGAGAATTCTGGCTATTCAGCAAACTCAAACGATCGATCCGGGGAAACCGCTTTGAGTCAATTGAAGACCTGAATTGCTACGCGCATTGAGGGCTACTCCGAAAATTGACTTTAACAATTGTTTCGAGGATTGGAAAAAACGTTGGCAATGACTTTGAAGGGGAATACTTATATTTTGAGGAATAAAATAAGAATTTTAAAATTATGAACAAAATCCTACTATTTTTTTCTCATAAGAGCTGAAATATGGGAGACTATTACTGCGTCCGAACTGCCATCTGCGCTTGAAAGCGATAACTTTAGTAAAAATTGGACAACTCGATGAAACTTTGTTACCCTTTAGTTTGCACTCAAGAGAGGTTGGTACATTGCCGCATTCAGAAATATCGAAAGCCTATACAGTTCTACAACAAAGGTCCGAATTAAAATACAAAACTAAAATTTTTGCTGAAAATCGTACAAGGGAGGGCCGTCTAATGTTAATATCTAACCATCAACTAATGCTATTTTTCAATTAAACTTGCCCAAGACAAGTATTTTTAACACCTCTTGATATCCTTTGAAATCAAATGATAATCTCGTCCACTCCTCATCTCACAGTTAACAGTATATAAGTTATTAGAATTAAAATTTTCCGTAATAGTACCTCCAAGATATGCCCTCTCGAGTTGAATTTGTTAAGTATCCAGATACCGAATATGTGGGCCTCAGTGTTTAAAGTTGATTATACAGTAGGAATATCAGCATTTTTTCCTGATAATAATGTGTTGTTGTGTCAAAAATGGGTCAAATCCAGTTAATACTTCCTCCGCATATGTCTGATATAAAGATTATCGAACTTAAGACTGATTTTATTCAGTATATATCGTTAATATGTGAGTTATCCTAATGAAGTTCAGAGACGATTATTTTTTGGTTTTACCGTTTAAACTCTCCCTAGCTCCCTAACTTCTTACCTTCTTACCTTCCTATACCTAATATTTAGTATAGAAATGTCAAATTTTGAGTTGGCTTGATATCGTATTCATCCGTCAATATGATATATAGATTTCTTAGGAAATTTAAGTGAATGTATAATATCGGAAAGATTAATGTCGAATATGTATGAAATCGGTTTACAAATAACCCAAGCTTCCATATGCTAAATATAATGATATTTTTTAGGCAAATAAACTTTACGCCACATAGATTAATCGGGGTATAAGCTTTCTTCGTAAAGAAATCATGTTCGAAAATAAAGTTTTACAATCTGGAAAATTAATTAAATCATTCTAGACCTTTCTCTAGTTTGGCTAAAGCTGAGATACTCATTTTCAAAATATATCCGTTACTAACTTAGCCTTTCCCTGTCACTGTCATTGAGTACAAAATTTCTTACGGGGCATGATTTCACGTAAGACTAGATAGTATGCCACATGCAGGCTTAAATTTGTGTGTTCTGCGAAAATATTTATGATTTTTTTCTCTTTACTCACCGATATTATTTTCCGCCTGACGCATTTTTGCCGGACAAAAGAATTTCGAACAAATGTCTGGACAAATTTTGGTTTTCACATTGAAGTTTTTTTTACTTGGAACTTTACTTTGTAGGCTTTTGCGGCTTAAGTTATCTTTAAGGATTTGTTAAGCTTTTGGCAAATGGTTTTTTTT